TGGGGATGAGATGGGGATGGGAATGGGGATGAGATGGGGACAGGGATGAGGATGAGATGGTGTTGGGGACGGGGACAGGGATGGGGATGGGAATGGGATGGGGATGGGAATTGGGATTGGGATGGGGATGAGGATGAGATGGTGATGGTGATGGTGATGGGAATGGGGATGGGATAGGGATGGGGACAGGGATGAGGATGAGATGGGGATGGGGATAGGGGCAGGGACAGGGATGGAGATAGGAATGGGATTGGGATGGGAATTGGGATGGGAATGGGATGGGGATCGGGATGGAGATGGGGATGGGGACAGGGATGGGGCTGGAGATAGAGATGGGGATAGGTTTAGGGATAGGGGTAGGGATAGGAATAGGGATGGGGACAGGGACAGGGTGTCAAGACCTTGGCTGACACACACTCACATGCCACCTGGCAAAGTCCATGCAGTGCCAGGGTGCACCCACAGCTGGGGATGTGTGCAGGGTGCAAAGCCCCCCCGCTAAACTTTCCCCCTTCTCCCTCTGTACCCCCCTGAACCTCCCCAGCACCCCAAAACCCGCATAGCAGGGAGTTCTTTCACACTTTTTAAAATAATAAATAAAGATACCCCCCCCTCCCATGCCCCGATGACATGGTTTGGGGGGGGTGTGGACCCAGGTGTCTGGTGGGGGGACATGGACCCAGGCGTCCAAATGGCCCCTTTTGGGACCATCCGGATGCCTGGGCCCATGCCCCCCCCCCCAAGTGAAGGGTAGCGCTGTCACCAGGCTGTCCTCGGCGGGGTTCACCCCTAGAAGCTGGTCTGGGTGGCGAACGGGGGCTGAGCTCCAGGGCCGCGGCCACATTCGGGACATGGCCCCTGTGGCAGTGGGTAGAGGAAGGGCTTTGCCGTCACCTAAGGGTGAATGGGGGTCAGTGGGTGGGTGGGGGGGCATGTGGCACCCCCCTGGCTCCCAGAACACCGGGATCTCCAGGGAAAGGAGGGTACCCCCACCACAGGGCTGAACTGGGTACCCTCTTTGGGACATAGCAAGGCAGGG